TTTTTCTGGACTCCTTTTTAATGGTTAAATTACATTTTATTAATCAAAAAGCATGTCTAATTAATTGAAATCAACAACAATTTAACATCTTATTGTTTAAATAACAATTTAAACAATTTAACATCAATTTATTAAAAGTTTAACAAATATGACATGTCTAGGGCCCTATGAAATGTTTTATTTTATTTTATTATTTGAAAGCATAAAACAAGTTTCATTTATTCTTACAATAGCCTTATGATTTTTTGCTCAGAAATTCGGTGTTGTGTATTTACATTTTTTTTAAGGCATAAAACATTAATTTAATCTATCTTTTAAGTAATGAAAATTAAACAAATAAATTTTTTTTGGAAAATAAAGGTCATTTAATATTACAATTAAAACATTTAAGAAATATTGTATGCTTATTCCTTAAAAATAAGGTTTTAATAATTTTAGTAGTAGTAGTAGCAGCCTATCACGTACATTCTACTCAACAATAGTAATATATTTCTGCCACAATGTCTTCAAGTTAAACCGAACTTTTATTTTGACGGGTTGCCGTGAATACCTTTACATTTCTGTGTGTGTATGACATGATGATAGTTTTACTGAAATCAAACGGTCAAGTGCTCATGAAGTGACTCTCAGAGCAGTTCTGGAGATGTTGTTCATGTGTTTATGTCCTCTTTTAGTGAGACGGCAGACGCTAATATCACAGGAAGCGTCGCGCGCGCTTCAGTACGAGTAGTAAACAAAACCGCGCGTCTGCGCCATTCATTAACACAGAGACACACAGAATTCATATTTAAATATGAATCGTTTTGCGGCTTAATATTCACAAATACTAGTGTGAGCGTGCTCACTTGTGTGTGTGTGTGTGTGTGCGCGCGCGCGCATCGGGAACGCGACCATACCGTAGAGACCGAAATGACATGCCGTCGTGTAAATAAGATAAATAACATAAGGCTGTTTAGTTTGTTTAATAAAAGAACAAGGCATAGACCTGTTCTATAGAAAAGGTAACTTTAAATGACTTCTGTTGTGATCTGGCACTATAGAGAAAATAAAATAAAAGAACAAGGTATATACCTGTTCTATAGGAAAGGTAACTTTAAATGACTTCTGTTGTGATCTGGCGCTATAGAGAAAATATAATTAAATAAAATTAACTTGACCTTCAAGGGGGGCGGGGGTGCTGTTGGGGGGGGCCGCCCGCCTAATATAATGGCAGGGGAAACACTGTACCACCTACAAAGCTGAAAAAGAAGAAAGACGCAAGACTCACATCCTCAAAGGATTCGTCCCATCCCTCGCTGGTGACGACAAACTGGACCTTCTTGCTCATGTAGTCTTCGACAGCTCTGAGGAATCAAACAGATCAGATCATTTCATCGGTCACGCTCCACCTACAGCCTCTCGAAGGCCTGCCGACGCTAATGCCATTCATCTGAAGCGCTTCAAACGGATTACGGATGCTTCACGCTCTCGCAATTATCTGAATGCACGTCTGTCTCGTACCCGTTGAAGGCGATGATGTAGCGCTGAAGTTGCCTTTTCTGGTTGTCAGGGAACTTGCCGTAAAGATAGAAGCGTTTTCCTGTTAGGAAGTCTGAAGGAGCAAAAACAAAGATGATTTAAAGGTTTAGTTCACTTCCAGAATAAAAGTTTCCTGAAATTTACTCTTCCCCATGTCATCTGAGATGTCTTTCTGTCTTCAGTCGCAAAGAAATGAAGGTTTTTGAGGAAAGCGTCCAGGATTTTTCTCCGTATAATGGACTTCAATGGGGACCAACGGGCTGAAGGTCCAGATCACAGTTTCAGTGCAGCTTCAAAGAGCTCTACACGATCCCAGCCGAGGAATAAGAGTCTTATCTAGCTAAACCATCTCTCATTTTCTGAAAAAAATAAACATGTATTAAAGCAATAAGCCCCAAGAAGCCGTGGTTTACAGTGAATTTATAACAGCTAAGGGGCGTTGTTTCCATATACGTAGCAAGGTTTCACCAAATAAAGTGTAATGATATTAATAAAAACAGTATTCTTCCACCAAACAATGTAGCTCCTCAGAAACAGTTGTGGTTGCTACAAAGTGGTTGCCGAGCAACAGACAAACGTAAACAAAGGTGTGTGTTACTTTGTAGAGTCATTTACAACAGCTTTGAACGCGGCTCAGCCAATCAGAATCAAGGACCGGAACTATCTGTTTTATAAATACTTTTTAACCACAGATGCACAGATAAGACTCTTATTCCTCGGCTGGGATCGTGTAGAGCTTTTTGAAGCTGCACTGAAACTGTGATTTGGACCTTCAGCCTGTTGGTCCCCATTGAAGTCCATTATACGGAGAAAAATCCTGGAACGTTTTCCTCAAAAACCTTAATTTCTTTGCGACTGAAGACAGAAGGGATGAACATCTCGGATGACATGGGGGAGGGTAAATACCCAGGAAATGTATATTTTGGAAGTGAACTAATCCTTTAATAAATGTAATACTCAAGACATCCATGTCAAGATGAAGCGGTGAGGCAGACCTGGCAGTTCGGGGATGGGTTTATCCTCCTCTTCCTCAGCATCCGTGTTCTCATCAGTAGAGCCGCCGTACAGATCTTCATCTTTCATCTGAACTGTGCTTTTCTTTGCTGCTTTCTTCCTCCTGCTCTCCATCTTCACCCTAAATCAGCCGAACACAAACACTGGAGTGTTACGCTTCTGGAAAACAGCTGAGACCAACATAAATGTTAGGACTTTTGTCTGATAGCCTGGTATGATTCTGCAGTTGATTATAATGCATCATCAAATTAGCCAAAATATTTAATTAACAAGCATACAATGACCCGGTCAATGCATTTCTGTTTATTAAATATTTTAGGTCATTTTTGGCATACACTACCATTCAGATGAATTTGTTTCTTTTTTAAAGAAATTAATTTTATTCAGCAAGGACACATTAAATTGATAAAAAAAAAAATGCTATAAATGCTGTTCTTTTTAAACTTTCCAGTTATCAAAAAAATCCTCGAGAAAAGAAAGCAAGCATCACGACTGTTTTCAACATTGATAATAATCAGAAATGTTTCTCGAGCAGCACATCAGCATATTAGAATGATTTCTGAAGATCATGTGACACTGAAGACTGGAGTAATGATGCTGAAAATACAGCTGCGCATCACAGAAATACATTACAGTTTAACAGATATTCACATAGAAAACAGCTTTTTAGATTCTAATAATATTTCACAATTTTTACTGTATTTTTGATCAAATAAATGCAGCCTTGGAGAGACTTTTTTCAAAAACATTTAAAAAAAATGAATGGTAGTGTACGTAAAATTTTGTGATGGGCGTTCCAATTCTATAGAAATCTGTAGAACTTTGTGCAATTTCACAAACAGGGAAAATTACTGGCTTAAAAACAGTATTTGAGTGCATATTGTGGCAGAAAGATTGTAAGTGCTGTTTCGGATTAAAACACTCTGAAAACACCGTCATGCAGGTTTGCACTTTGACCCTGATCAATAACTCTTCTTTAGCTTCTTTAGCTGCATTTAGACATTTTTCAAGAGCCTGAATAACGAGAATCTCAAAACAACTGGGAAAAGAGCACAAACAGGGAACGTCAAAGGACAACTGATGACAATAATGATGACGTATTTAGAAAGCAATAAATGTCTTACCTGTTCAGCTCATCTTCAGTGTCCATGCCAGACGCGTCGCCCTCTGCGAGCGGATGCACAACATGAAAAAACATAATAGAAATAGACAGTAATCGTATTTTAAGTCAACAGTATGCACCACAAACTGATCTTAATATTTAAATAATCATGCAGGAAAGCCTATTACGGATAGTCCAGAAAATAAAATGCTTTACAAATGAAAGGTGCAAACACGTAAATCTATATAGTTTTAGCCTATCATGTTCTGCTAAAGCTGAAACACAAAAAACCCCCAAAAAACTTTATGTACTAAAATAACTAAACTAATAAAAACAGGCATATTAAAAATGAATAAAAAAAATAATAAAAAGACAAAAACACTAAATATAGAAAATATCAAAATAAAACTTAATCAAAATATTAATAAAAAATGATAATAGTATCGCAGTACAAACAAACAAATAAAAACACTATGTACTAAAATAACTAAACTAATAAAAACAGGCATATTAAAAATGAATAAAAAAATAAAACAGACAAAAACTACAAAAAAAAAAAAAAACTGTACTAAAATAACTAAACTAATAAAAAAATGAATAAATTAACAAAAAATGATAATAGTATCTCAGTTACACTAAAATAGCACTCTGAATTTCCCAATATTCTGTGTGCTAGATCTAAATCTCGACCTGTTGACATCTCTATTATTGCACAGTATGCAGTCCAGCCCTAATAACGATCACGATAAACAATGATTCATCGTTTTCCTCTGAATGGTTTTAAGTTGCATGAACACATCCAGGAGAGCGAGGCTTGCTCTTGCAGCCCCTCAATTTACATAGAAATGAGAAACATGCCCAAGTCTCGTCTGTGCGAATGCTGCGGGTGAGTGTCTGTAGCACTTCCAGCCTCTCCAATCCTACTGCTCGCTTATGGCCCTCCGTTTTTTATTTCTCCTGATTGATTGGAGCGCTGCTTCATTAACCCGGCCTCTCCTGTCCTCCCTCGTAATCGTGCGACACGCAGCCGGAGTGAAGGGACCCCATGGCAAACGGGTTCACATGCTAACGATTTTCTATGAGGGCCTGAGCCTCGGGGATGAGCGCAGTTGACAAGCCTTACCTGTTCTGGCATGTGTTCAGCTTCAGAAGGTGATGATCAATAAATCGCTCAAAATGGCCATTAATGATCTTTGCTGTGGACGCACCTTTTCTCGGTTTACATGCATAATCTTACACTGATTCTGCTTAAGCCGTTTAAGCAAAACAACTAGATTATCAACCTGCACGTAAACGACTTTATCGGCTTCCTGTCTGGTTTTTCAACGCCTCGTGTGCATGTTTAGGTTTTAATGTCAAAAGTGGAGAACAGCTTTGCTGCAGTGCCGCTTTATTGATTTGTGTGTATTATTGTTAACTAAAATAATTTTTCGTTAATTGAAAAAGCTGAAATTTTTCATTATTTGAAATGAAGCTGAAAAATATAAATATTAGACGAAAAACCAACTTAAACGTAAATGGAAATTAGAAATGTTGCTTTAGCAGGTAACTAAAATAAAATAGTACTTAAACTTGAAATAAATATGAATTAAAGCGAAATAGAAATATTTAAAAAAATGAATAAAAATGACAAATAATTATCAAATTACTGAAAATTAAAATAAAAAAAAAATGTCATTAATTGAAAAAAGCTGAAAGAATATAAATATTAGACGAAAAAATGACTTAAATGTAAACGAAAATTAGAAATGTTCCTTTGGCGAATAACTAAAATAAAATAGTTTTAGTCGTTTTAGTGCTTAAACTTGAAATACATATGAATTAAATCAAAAAATAAATATTGTAAAAATAAAAACGACCAAAAAAAAAAGATCAAATTACTGAAAATTGTAATTAAAAATGTTCATTAATTGAAAAAAAGCTGAAAGAATATAAATAAGAATAAAAAAGTTTTAGTACTTAAACTTGAAATATATTTTTTTTATAAATTAAGCTAAATAGAAATATAAAAAAATCTAATAATAATGAAAAAAATATATACTAAAAGTGAACATTTTCATTAATTGAAAAACAAAGAATATAAATATTAGATGAAAAACGACTTGAAAATTAATTAAAATAATTTTAGTTATTTTAATACTTAAACTTGAAATACATACATATGAATATGAATTATATAAATATGAATTAAAGCTAAATAGAAATATTTAAAACGAATAAAAATGACAAAAATTACTGAAACTAAAATTAAAATAAAAGTTGCAGACATTTAAGCTAATTAAAAATATTAAATTCTATAAAAGTATTTAAGTAAATAATAATAAACTCTGGTGTAAACCTTCACAAGAATGTTCAACTCGTTATCCTTCAGCTACTCATGTGGAAGAGCTTTACAGGTTTGTTGAAATGAAAGTGAATATTCTGTTGCATTTCCAAGTCTAACAGGATATTTAAAGTGTTGTGACTCACGCTCCAGTCAAAAGCTCTCTAAAATAAGACCGTCCGTCCTCTTGCATCCGACTAGAAAGCAGTCAACAGATGTTTTTAAGTGAAGATAAGCATACTCGATTTCTATTGTCTTTACCTGGATCTTCAGCATCCGTTGAACCTCCATACTCCTCCTCTTCTTCCTTAATCGCCTGCTTTTTTGGGTTCAGCTGCCTCTTTTCTGGTGTTTTCTAGGGAAGCACGAGAAAATCAATGCTTATGCAGTTGGTTCGCATTAATGTCACTCATGTGCTTCCTGCTTGAGTCGATGCGTGACAGGAAGTCAACAAATCTGAGGATGTTGTCTCTATGGCAACAACACGCAAGGTTATGATGCTCTTTTTATTCACGAATGAAGGCGAGACAGTTTTGCATGTTTCTTGAGACGTGAACATATATAAAGCAGTCACCGCTTTCTGCGTTTCCTCCTCGCTCTCATCCTCTTCTGCTTCAGTCTCCGAACTGGACTCGGCTCCGTTCATGAGATACCTGGAAAAGACAGCGAGAAACGGCAGACTGAGTCTAACTGCAACTGGACGGGAACGCCTAAACATTAATTCAGGAGCTGAGATAAGTCTGAAGCTTTGATGGAGATTCCAGGAACAGGATTTGAGACTGTAAACAATCCTGAAGGAAACATTAGACAAATACACAAGAGATGCACAGACAAACCAGACCTGGTGTATTTAAGCCATTATAGACATTTTTCTTTCTGTACCGTTACATTTTGCTCCATTAAAGAAATCATCAAAAAAGTCATCATTTCATCCTTGAGTTGTTCTAAATCTATGGAAGCTTATTTCCGCCAAGCATTAAAAATATAACAAAATTATCATATCTCATAATTGCAATATTAATTGTGAAATGTCAATTCTGAGAAAAAAAGGTCAGAATTGTGAGATGTAAATGCAAAGTTTATATCATGCAATTCTGACTTTTTTCCGCAGAACTGTGATTTATATCTCACAATTGCGAGTTATAAACTCTTAAAATTAAAAGTTAAAATTTAACTCAATTTAAATATCTTTCTGACCTTTTTTCCCCTCGGAATTTCCTCAAAAATGCAATTTGGAGAAAAAAAAGTCAATTGTAAGATTAAAAAAAAAAAAAAAAAGCAACTACCTTTTTACATTTTTGGTGGAGTTTGTATCATGCAATTCAGACTTTCTCAGACTTGCAGAAGTTTATATACTGCAATTGCGAGTTATTAACTGCGAGATGTAAACTCAGAATTGAGATTAAAAAGATGCATCTTTTTTGTTGAAAAAACAAAAGGAGATATTATGCAGAATGTCCAAAATGTTCTTTTTCCTGTAAAATAATGGGGATTGTGGCTGTATTATAGTATTATAAATATTATAACATAATATAAGAATTATAACAATAGTCCATATGACTCATTTACTTTAAGACATATGTCATGTATGAACCGTGTAAATCGCCATCGCACTGTACTGATGAGAGCAGCTTGGAGATTCTGCTCAACATTTCATGTTTGTTTCATTGACGAAAGAAAATAATATAATAAAATGATCAATTTTCAAATGTTTCAGGTGAGATATTTTTAAAATGTGCATGAAAACAAACAATCAACGTCTGCTTTATCAAGCAGAAGTATTATTGGGAATAAAACAAAAGTGTGAGCAAAAGGGTTCTAGAAAAGAGTTCGGAGGTTCTTCAAGGACACACACCTGAGCTGATCTGTGTGTGAGTGTGTGTGTGTGTGTGTGTGTGTGTGTGAGAGAGAGAGCGCGTGTGGGAGTGGTATTATTGGGAATAAAACAAAAGTGTGAGCAAAAGGGTTCTAGAAAAGAGTTCGGAGGTTCTTCAAGGACACACACCTGAGCTGATCTGTGTGTGAGTGTGTGTGTGTGTGTGTGTGTGTGTGTGAGAGAGAGTGAGCGTGTGTGAGTGTGCGTGTGTGAGAGAGATTGAGCGTGTGAGAGTGTGTGAGTGTGCGTGTGTGTGCGTGAGTGTGCGAGAGTGTGTGTGTGTGTGTGAGTGTGTGCGTGAGTGAGTGTGTGAGAGTGTGTGTGTGAGTGAGTGTGTGAGAGTGTGTATGTGTGTGAGTGTGTGTGTGTTTGTGAGTGAGTGTGTGAGAGTGTGTGTGAGAG